GATCTGACAAACACCGGGTCCCTCAGGTAAGTGAACGGATATTCTCAATCTCTGCTTTCATGGCAATGCCCTCCTGGTTTAGTTGTTCAATCTTTGCTGCATTTGCCTTGATGCCCTTCATTGCCGACAATCTGGACCGCCGAGAATCATGATAACCTCCAGTCAATGCGCCGCGCCTGTTTACCTGGTCCCCTGCGAAACAGACATGCGCATCACCAAACACGACATCAGGTACCTGCATTCATTTACGACATACTCACTCTCCAACACTCACAACTTTTTAGACGAGATCTGGATGTACGCACGATGCGATACAAAATACATCCAGAAAAAAAGTCCGGTGTGAACACAGCCTCGGACGCCGGGCAAGCGGAACAGCTGCTGCTGTTCAGCTAGCACATGTAAAGAACTTTGTCTCAATGACGCTATAACCCATTCACCGGACTTAAAAACAGTCCCCAAGTCTCAAGGAGCATGAAAAAGAGTACTAGTGAGATAGGTACGGTACGCCTTTGAAAAAACATGTACCCTCGACGCACAAAGGTCGTTGTCGCTGCATCTGGACTGAAAGCGGTGCCAGATAGAGCTTCCATATCCATCACATCCTCGAGTAGCATCTGGCGGTCAATTTCAGACTACCGTCTTCGCCCGAAAAGAACGCCCGGTCGTTATCGCTGGATCTGGACTGGAAGCTGTGCCAAATACACAGCTATAAGCGTTCTATTTGGGTGAAGACAGCAGGAACCTTAATGCTCATCGAATGTTCATCGGTTATGAATCTTAGGATGCAAAAAACAGGGCAGACTCCGAGGGTACAGGTGACCACAAACAGCGCCACGACATAACTGAAGTGAAAGAAGTTATAATTTAACCATCACATAAAAATTTCTCTACTTTTCATGTAGTCGCTGCTGACCCAAACACACCCACGGCTGAACCAATGTCCGGAAGAGCCTCGGTGTCGGTGTTCTGGCAGACGTGTCCGTAAAAACAAAAGCACCAAATTTGCAGACATGCCTGGCAACTGGCCTGAATATAACATCCATGTCCTCATATCTGTCTATTCTTCCCCCTTACCCATTCCCCCTGTCGATCTCTACTCTCCTCTCTCATAAGTCTCACTCATCCCCTTCGCATGATCCCATCTCTCTCTCCCCCACGTTTCCCATTTCTCTCTCCTATGCCTCTCCTATTTCTTCCTAGCATCTCTCCCAATTCTCCGCTATTCTCATTCTAGTTCCAACCCTGCTCCAGTACTCAGTTTGCTGCCACCGTCTTCATTTCCCCCAGCTCTCTCTCTCTCTCTCTCTCTCTCTCTCTCTCTCTCTCTCTCTCTCTCTCTCTCTCTCTCTCTCTCTCTCAGCAGAGGATATGGTCATCCATCAGACCTCACTCTCTCCCGCTACTGCTAAGCTATGCTGCTGCACACCGTCCTTTCTAGGTGTGGCAACTCTACCGCTCACTCTTACTCTTGCTCACTGCTTGCCTTCTTCCACTGCCAGCGGTCTGGCATCACTGCTCCAGCCTCAAAGCAGCACATGGCAGAATGAATCAAAACTCCATCAGGGTGGCCACAATTTGCTTGCGGCCAATGCCTGGACCCAGTGGGGCTTAAAATTTTCTGGGAACTGTACGGACTCCGGAGCCTTCGGATTGTGCATGTGATCTGTGGCCGTGGTTGGTTGCTGGCAAATCTTTGACTCTTTGACTTCTAGGCCCATCACTATACTATATATCGTCACAAACTATATATATATAGGGTTCAGCCTCCTGATGAGTCGGTGAAACTCCGACGAAACAGTTTGTCACAGCCCCTCGTTTGTTGTCCTCTTCTCTCTCTCTGCCTACGGTTTACCGGGCAGTTCTGTTTGTGACG